CAGCCCCCTGTGGGCAGGGCCAGGAGAGGAGGGGGCTGCTCTCAGCCTGGGAAAGTGAGTTAGGAGGGCTGGGGTTCTCGCAGGAAGGCACACTGCCAATTTCCGGGGAGCTGCTGCCTTTCCCGGCCAGGCCATGCCTCAGTTGATTCAATGGGCACACCCATTTTTCAGATGAGGGTGGGAAGGTCCTGAGAGGCCAGGGCTCCAGTCCTGCCCGGGTGAGGAGGACGTAGGGGAGGTGGTCTGGTCCTACCCTCTGCCCGACACCAGCTTTCATGTTTAGCACTTAAGGACCCCAGAATGAGGGTGGTGGGGGTGGCTCTCAGCGGGGTGGCCTCAGCCAGTGTCCTCCATATGCCCCCCTTGGGGAGCTCCCCTTTAGAGTGGAAATAACAGGGTCCCTCCTAACAGAGCTGTGTTGAGTATTCTAACAGGGCGGGTATGCCGTAGTGCTTAAATGGTAGCTGTTTGGAGCAGACCCAGGGTACTGGGTCAAGAAGGGACCCGATGGTGTTCCACCCCCGTGGGCCTCGGCCTCCCAGCTGTCCATGGGGCCACTGGGCCAGTAAGGACAGAGACGGTGGGTGGCCTGGTGAGGACCAGGATGCTTGCTGGGGGGCCCGGGTCCCACCCCACCCCATCCCTGGGTCTTTGCCCTGCCACCCGCAATACACCCTCCAGGACTGCAGGCTGATGCTGGCCTTTGACTCTGGAGAGGGAGGTGACCAGGGTGAGGACCGCTTGGGACAACAGCTGGACCTCACGTCCTGGCCTGGGCTTGCTGTGACCCTGTGGACTGTGCCTCTGTTTCTGCTCTGGAAGGAGGAGCCTAATGGGAACACCTCCCTCCCAGCCACTGTGTGGGGTGCAGGCTGGGAAGGGCTGTCTAGGGGCATGGCCTCAGGGGACTCTGTGGCCTCTGAGCTGCTGGTTGCATTATTGATATTTTGCCAAAAGCCCGGAGGTCCGGAAGTTCAGCAGTCCCGCTGGCCCTTCTCCCCGTCAGTCAGGTGTCAGGTTCGGAAGGAGGAGGGCCTCTCCCTGAGTGCTCCACGCCCTGCGCTGGGCGGGCCTCACCCAAGCCCCAGCCATCGGCTTCCTCCCCGAGATCTGGCCGGCTGCTGCTAAGATCAGCCTTGGCACTGGCCAACCCATTTTACAGGCAAGAAACGGAGGCCCTGGAGGCGGTGACGTGCTCGAGGTCCTGTGATGTGGGAGCTGGGTCCGTGGACCCTGGGGGTGGGCCGAGGTTTCTCTGGGCCGTGCCCACGCAGCCTCCCAGGCTGGCAGCCCCACCGCGTCGGCCCGAGGCCTGGAGAGGCCCGGGTTCCTCCCATCTCTTCCCCCCTTCCCAGCTGCCCCGAGTTTGGGGGAAGGCAGTGGCCCGCTGGGGCAGGAATGCGGAGGCCGACCTTGGTCCCCGCCGGGTGAGCCGATAAGCAGGCCCCTCCCCTCAGCCTCCCGGGCCTCTGTCTGCTTCCCCAGCTGCCCCTGGGCGGCTGGCAGTGGCCTTGGGAGCCCCGGCTTCCCCCACTGTGAAATGGGTGTTGGGGGCTGGTGCGCAGGCCCAGGTCTCCTGGTTCCCTCGGTTCCCCGCCCCGGGCTGGCGTGCGACCGGTGTGCTGAGGGCTCCTGTCTGTTCAGCGCCTCACGGGCACCCGCCTCCTGCCCTTCTCTACATCTGCTTAGCTTTGGGCCCTCTGCCCATTTCGCACAGGAGAAAATGGAGGGTGAGAAAGGGTGGGCGACTGCACTGGGGTCTCGCACTGCACCGTGGAGCTCTGGCTGTGGAAGTGACGGGGACGGGGTGGCCTGCGTGAACCTGGGGCTTCCAGGACTGTCAGGGGTGCGGCTCCCTGAGAAGGAGGGGCAGCGACTGTGGGCGTCCTGGTTCCTCTGGGAGCTTCCCTGTGGGCAGCCACGGTCGGAGACTGGCTGGAGTCGGGAGTGGAGAGTCCTAGGCGCTCTGTCGATATAGGGAGGTTACTTTGCTTCTCCAAGCCTCGGTCTCCATCTCTGCAAAATGGGGGTATCGCGGGGCACCAGGCTGGACTCCGGGAGTGCCTGGTCCTTATGCATGTCACTCGGCCGCCCCGAGTCTCCGTTTCCCCGCCATAGAATGGAGCAGTGATGCTGACCTCACAGGGCTGTGAGGATGGACATCACCCAGCACAGGGCCCCGTGGGGTCTGTGCTGTGTAACGGAATCCACATTCACAGGCAGGCTCCCCCTCCCCTCCCCAGCTCGCTGACCTGCCCAGGTGTTTCTGTCACGGCCGGCTTCCCTTGCACCCGCTCCTTCCCAGTTCTTCCTGGCCACCTGCACCTGCCACCGCCTCCTGCCCCAACTAACCTTTCTTCCATCAAGCCCCCATTCCCAAAGTCAGGCCCGGGGAGCAGGATCAGAGGATTCCCCAGGGCCAGGTGGTCATGGCTCCTTCCTGCAGTGGCGCACATGGGGAAGGACCTGCTGGGGAGTCCTCCAGGGACAGGGGACAGGGCCTCATGATTGATGGTGCATCCATCCTGGACATTCTCAGCCCCCAGTGAGGGACCAGGTGCCTGCGGCCACCCCCCTCAGCCTCTCCTGGGGTTCCTCTGGCATGAGTGGCCACAGGGCCTCCCCCCGATGCGACCCCAGGCCTGAGCCCCTCTCCATGCTGGGCCTCCAGGCTCACCAGTGCCAGCAAGCATTCCTGGGCATTCACTAGGCCCTGCCTCACACTCGGCCACCGTGCCCAGGATTTGATAGGCGTGACTTTATGTCCTTTACCCGGCAGCCTTTGAGGGAGGCCCAGTTTGCAGATGGGAAACTGAGGCTCAGAGAGTTTCCAGGTCTGCCCCAGCCCTGGGACTTGAGCCCCCAAACCTGGGCAGGGGAACCACCAGCAGATATTTTGTGGAGGGAGTGAGAGGAGGGCAGCAGTGGTGGTTTTTACAGGAGACCTTTCCCTGGTCCTGCTGGGCCAAAGGAAGCTCGTCTTCAGGCTGAGGAAACTGAGGCCTTCCCATGTCTCCAGGCAGATCCTCCTCTGAGCTCAACACTGTGCCCTCCGGCTGTGTGACCCGGAGCAAGTCCCTTCCCTACTGTGGGCCAGAGTGGCCACTGCAGGGCCTTAGAGATGTAGGAAAGAGATGAGAGCCACTACCAGACCTGGCACGCAGGGCACGGCCAGCCCTGGGCACTTCTCAGAAGCCCCAGATGGTGGGTCTGGGCTTCAGCCAGCTAGGAGTCCTTGAGAGACCATTGTTCTGCAGCCCGTGGTCCCTCTGTCAATCCTTGGGGGATGGAAGGAGGGGACTGGAGTCTCCTTCCCGTTGGACGGAGGTACTCTGTTTAGGGCCTGGGTGCCCCATCTTGAGGAAGGTCCTGAGGACAGGCGAGCAGCCCCCCAACATTTGGGGGTGCCCTGAGCACACCCAAGCCCAAGGGACTGAGGCCTGTGAGCCTTGCCTCAGGTTGGGACCCGCAGGTGCCCCTAAGCTGCCTGTTTATGACTGATGGTTCCCAACCCCAGGCCTGGGGCCTGGTTATGCTGGGAGTGGGGACAGGATGCCCTGTGAGTCCCGGGCGGGAGGTTGGGGTGTTTGCACCTCAGTCCTGCTGCTGTCCCCAACACCATCTACCCTCTTTCCACTTCATGGCACAGCTCAGGAAGGCCTGGGACTACTGCAGCCCACTGGGGACCCTGAGGTGGTCGGCTTCGGTTTCCCCCTTTGCTCCTAGGCTCACACCCACCTCCACCAAAACCAAACGCTTTCCCAGAGAGCAGAGAGACCCCCTATGCCCGCTGTGGTGATGGCTGGTGGGCACCCAGGCCATCCCCATACCCTCCAGCTCTGCAGGCTGCAGCCTGGCTGCCCTGTACTGTCTCCTGGTCGGGCCTCTGGCGGGCACAGGTTTCAGCTCCTGTGATAACTGGGAAAGTTGAACTGGCCCCATTACTGCGCCGAGATGGTGGGGGAGATACAGCCTGATAATGGAGGAGATAGCAGCTTCTCCGTGGCCAATAGCCCAGCCTCTCCACCCATTAACATTCCCCACCAGCGATCCGCCGCCTATCTCCTCCATTTCCACTCCTCCCGAAGATAAGAATGGAAATTCTGACTTCATAGCTCACTGATTAAAGTGTCTGGATTTCTTGATAATACACAGATAAATTATGTTTTTGAAAAAGAAGGTAGGGAGGAGGGTGAGGAGGATGGGGGCCTGGGGTGGGTGGGAGCCCTTGGCCGTCTCTCCCAGCCTCTTTTGGCCCCTGGGCCAGGCCATGAACCCCCAACCTGCCCCACCTCGGCCTCTACAGTCCCCATGTCTGAAGGCACAGAGTGAGCTCACAGCAGGGCCCGGGCCGGGGAGGCACAGGCAGGGCTCAGAAGAGAAACAGCAGAAACAGATGGTAATGCTGGAGACTCGGGCTGCTGTTGGGAGCTGGTAGCTGTGGCACAGGCCTGCAGGGAAGCCCTCTGTTGGGAAGTGCCCTCCCAGCACCTGCCTGGTGGTGGGCAAAGGGTGGAGGAACAAGCCAGAAGTGTGGGCCTGGCTGGCTACACGTGCCTCGGGTCATGACTGCATGCCTCAGTTTACCCACCTGTCAAATCAGCAGGAGCACAGGCCCATCCTCATAGCCTTGCTAGCCAGGCAGTGCCCCAGGGCAGGCTTTTAACCTGTTCGGATCCCTGCTGTTCCCCCTGGTGTCTGTAACAGTGCCCAGTTATACAGTAGGTGCTTAATAAATGCGGAGGGCCCAGGCAGAGCCCCATTGGCCAGCTGGGGAAGGGGAGGGGCTTGCCTTGAGAAGCCCTGTGCGCTCCCTGGCCCTGCTGCTGCGCCTGACAGCTGCACCCAGGTGGGACTCAGGTGCCATCGCGTGTCTGTCTGGATAAAGCCGCCTCCTTCAGCTGATCCAAGATCCCGCGAAGATGGAGCGATTAGCAGCGATTAGGGCCCGGCGCGCGGCTAATCCTCCTGCTGAGGGACAGGTGAGGCAGCCATAGAGGTGGAGGGGAAAACCGAGGCCTGGCAGCTGCCGTGTCTCCTAGAGGCCATGGCCCGGCCGCTCCCCCGCTGACAGAACGCCTTCGTGGAGCCCCCTGGGCTCCCAGTGGGGACAGGGCAAGTTGCCCTGTCCCCCTTCCTGGGTTTTACTTTTTACGTGACTCTTGAGAAATGAGACCCTCTGGGATCCCAAAGGCAAGATCGCTGGGGCTGTGCGGACGGTGATATTTCTGGGTGGTTCTGGGCCCCCCCAGTTGTAATAATCCTGATGGCGGCCCCTGGTCAGGCCACAGCTCTGTACGGAGCCCCGGCAGTGCTGGCATGGAGTGTTCTGCAGCCCTGGGAGGGGTACCTATGACCTCATTCTCCTCGGAGAACTGAAGGTTCATCCAGGTTGAGAAACTCACCCAAGGTCACACAGCATGGGGAGAACAGAAGGGACTCTGGCCTCTGGCTTAGAGTCTCCATCCTGGCTGGAGGTGCTGGGGTGTTTGCAGTGGGGGGGCAGCTGACAAGCCTCCCAGGGGGCTCACCCTTCCCATTCAGGGAAAAGGCCAAGCACAGAGAAGGCAGGGACAGGTGAGGACCACACAGCCCGTCCTGGCAGTGGGAGGGGACGCTCTGCCTCTATTCTTGTTTCTTGGGTTCATCTGCCCCCAGAAAACAGGCTCCTTTGGTGACAAGTTGGTTTCTTGCTATCTTTTGGGTTTGGTTTTGTCTCAGTATTCTAAAAGGAAGTCAGCTATTTCCAGCACAGTGGGGTGTGTATGTGGGGGCGGGAGTGCCAGCCTCAGTGACCGGTGTGTAAATCCCGACCCCTGGCCAGCAGCCCGGGCAAATGGCTTCACACGCCTTGGCCTCAGTTTCCTCACCTGAATCATGGGCATGGTCCCAGTTCCAGCCTCCTTGGCCTTCGAGGAATGAGACAGGACAGAAGTGGGCAGAGCATCCAGGGCCCTTGTGCGGTCAGGTCTCAGTCAACCCAGGAACAGAGGTGTTATTAACGGGGGGGAAACGTGCAGGGTGAGGGTCCCTGAGGTGGGGCCAGCTCTCCAGCCCTCTCTGCCCTCAGCCCACCCCCGCTGAACCCTGCCAGCATTCTTCCTGCACCGTATCAGCAAACAGCTCTGGTGTGCTCATAACCTGTGAAGTTACCCAGGGCCCCGTCCCATCACACAGCAGACAGAGTCACCCTAGAACATTTGTCTAGACCTGTGATCCCAGAGTCTGCTCCTTGTGAACCCCGAAAGTTGCCCCAGTCACCCAGACCCAGGGCCACAGCAAACAAGCAGGGGGTACAGCCGCTGCCCCCATGGCCCTGGTTCTTCCACATCCCAGAGGCTCAGTCCTCAGTGTCCCCATCTGTCAAATAGGGCCCTGCAGGCCATGGCCAACCCCCCGGGGTCTCCCACCCCTCCCAGCTGTGCCTGTCCAGGGCTTCGTAAGGAAGGAGTTCAGCCCCTGCCCAGTGACCTGCTGAGAGGCCCTGGTTCAGGTCCCAGCTGCCCGTCCTTTGCTGTGTGACCTCAAGCTAGCAACTTCAGTTCTCTGGGCCTTGCGGCCTCTATCTATAAAATGAGGGGCCAGCCCCCCTCTCGTAGTCCTTTCAAAGAGCTGATGGTGTAGACCGCAGGACCTGCCCTACAGGACATGTGTGCGGCGGCTCCTGTTGTCCTGTGACCTCTAGACCCCAGGCCTCACAGCCACCTCAGATCCCTCCCTCCAGTCACAGGCTCTGGCTGGCTGCTGGGTGTGCTGGGCACAGCGGGCCCTAAGCTGACCTGTGCTCTTCAGGGTGGGGCCTGAGAGAGGGAGGCCCCCACCCCCTAGTTCTGTGGCTTTGGGAGGTGGGGGTGGGGGTGTTTTCTGCCCTACCACCCCTCAACGAAAAAGAAGAAAAGGGAACTTGATAAAAAGGGTGACGCGTGCTGTGCTGTGGAGGAGGTGCTGTCACCGGTATCTATCTGCCTGCTCGAGCTGAGCGGCCCCCCTTCCCCTTATCTCACCCCACCCAAAGGCCAGGAACAAAAGCAAGAACAGCCTCTCACCCGAATGGCCATGGCCACAGGAGCCCATGGCCCCCAACACACCCGCAAGCCCACTGTCCCCATGTGGTGCATTGAGCCACTGCCCCCGACGCACCCAGGTGCCAACTGTCCCCAGTGCACTTGCGAGCCCACTGCCCCCAACGCATGGAGCCCCCAGATCTAGAGGGAGTGCCGAGTGCTCGGAGTTCTCTGAAAGTCATCATCATCACCATCATCATTTTGCAAAGAAAGCACCAAAATAGCCCTCCCTGAGACAAGGCAGCCAAAGATAAGAAGTCGCCCTAAGCAGCACCCCTCCCAATCCTAGGAGGGACGAGGCCAGCCTTGGACAGGGGCCGGGACTTGGGCAGGTCCTAGCTGTGCCGGCCTCTTGGCTGTGCGACCTTGGGCCAGTACCGTCCACCTGTGAGTCATCCCTGAATGGATGTCAGGGAACCCTGCACTGTAAATCAATTCCCCCACCACCCCCAGGCAGCTCTTTTCTACTCCTAGACTGGGGGCCGGGACTGTCACCCAGAATCTGATACCCCAGGGCCCTGCCCCCCAGGCCCCGCCCCCATGGCCGGGGCACAGCGGGCCTAACCAGACTGCTGGTAGCCAATGGAAAAGGGGTATGCAAATGAGCAGGGGTGAGGACCAGGGATTGGCTGAGCTGCTGTGTTGGGGTGGGGCCTCCTCCTGGGGCTGCCCTTGACCTGGGGAAATAGTTCCCACCCTGGACCCTGCCCCGGCAGGGGACACCTCCCTCGGCCACCATCACCTTCTCTGCAAGGGCCCGCCTTTTAGGGGCCTCGCTGCCTGAGCACAGGCGGATGGACAGGCTGGCCTCTGGATGACCTGCCAACCCTCAGGGCCCAGACCCACGTGTCCTGAGTTGGGGACCAGGACCCAGGAGTTATGGAGGGGATGGAGCTGGTAGCCACTCCCAGGTGGCAACAGTGAGTTCATGAATGGGCAGGGACGGCCCAGGGACGGCCAGCCTCCCTCCAACCCCATGTCTGGGCCCACTCCAGACCCTCCTGCAGGCTGCCTCCACCGCTCCACCCTCTCCCTGCACTGACTTCCACCCGAGACCTCATTCTGCCAGGCTTCTAAAGTGCTAGCCTGGCCAGGGATGTGACACCAACTTAATGAATGACAGTCCCAACCCCTTTGCCCACCCTCAGTTTTCCCATCTGTAAAACGGGAAGGGGGTCTAGTAGGTCTGGCTGCTAGGATGATCTCTGGGCTCTTTGGCAAGTCCCTTGCAGACCTGGGCCTCAGTTTCCCCTTCCACACCGTGAGGCTGAGGTGGCAGCTCCTCTGGGGGTCCTCCCTCTGTCTGTGGCTGTGGCATAGTCTGGAAACCTGAGGTCTTCCAGATTTCCCATTGTCAAAAATTCACGTGCCAGGAGACCGTGCCTGTGGGGGGCTCAGGACACCAGGGGAAGGTGCGCCTGTGTTCTGCATCCACAGTGCATGGCAAACCAGTCTGAGGTCGGCCCCACCGCCCAAGACCTGGCTCGAGGCCCTGTCAGCTCCCAGGCCACCTGCAAATCAGCCACAGGTGTGGGTGTTTGTCAAAAATGTGTAAGTGGAAAATGGTGGCGGGCGAGGAGGGAAAGAGTCTGGGCTGAGATCTGAGGACAGGAAGTAGGGAGGGGCCGTCGGACCAGAGCCAGACATCACCTTGGCCAGGGCCCCACCCCCTGTGTGGGGTGCTGTGCGTCTCAAGTGGTGAGAGCCAGAGGTGCGTGCCCAGCGTCGGGGGGGGGGGTCTCCCCACGAGGCCCTCTCGGTCTGCAGAGGGGCCTGCACTCAGGCAGGCAGCTCTGTCTCCCCCAGGACAGCTCCGGGCATTTAGCAGGTGTTCCCTCAATACCCCAGCTGATTTCTGGATCTGCTCCCCATGCCTGGCCTGTCCCCAAAGGCGAAGTAAAAAGAAACCGAGGCCGGGTGCTGTGGCTCACGCCTGTAATCCCAGCACTTTGGGAGGCCGAAGCGGGCAGGTCATGAGGTCAAGAGATCAAGACCATCCTGGCCAACATGGTGAAATATCATCTCTACGAAAAATACAAAAGTTAGGTGAGCATGGTGGTGCGTGCCTGTAATCCCAGCTACCCAGGAAGCCGAGGCAGGAGAATCGCTTGAACCTGGAAGGCAGAGGTTGCGGTGAGCCGAGATCATGCCACTGTACTCCACCCTGGCAACAGAGTGAGACTCTGTCTCAAAAAAAGAAAAAGGAAACTGAGAAAAAGCCAGGGCCTCCAGAGCCAGCATCGTCGTGGCCAAAGGCCCCTCTAGTGTGGGGGCAGCGGGGGCATTGCCTGCGGAGAGCCGGGGTCCTTGTCCCTGTGGCGGGGCTGTGACTCGCTCCTCCAGGGCCCTTGCTGTCAGGGCTACCCGTCTGTTCTGTGCGTCCTTACTGGGGATGGGGCTGCTGGATGGGCTGGAACCGGCGGCCTCTGGATGCCCACGGGTGTCCCCTGTGGTCTCCAAACCTGTGCTGAGTGCCTGCTGTGTGCTGGGCATGGACCAGGGAGCCCAGGAGACCTCACGGAGCCCCAGCCTGATGGGGGAGAGTGAACAGAGGGAGGACCTGAGTCCCTGATCCTGGGGTCTGACCTACTCTGTGGCAGAACCGCTGGGGAGGCTGTTGTCAAGGACTGTTGGTGTGGAGGGCCAGGTGGTGACACAGAGACAGGTGAGGACGCAGCGTGGGAAAACACGTCCTTGCCCAGTGCGCAGTGGGAGCTCTGAGCAGGGAATGAGGTCATCCAGGCCGGGGCGGGAGAGGCAGCATGACACACTGACCCAGGGCCCAGTTCCGATGCCTGCACCTGACCCGGCGTGGTCCAGCCTCCAGGACAGGCATTCCCTTCCTCATGTGTCCTTGACAGCCACATAGTGGGCTGTGCAGAGACCACCTTCTGACGGAGCGAGGGCCCGGAGAAGCCACTGCAGCCACGGTCCTCTCGGGGTCCGGAACACCCCCAGCTCCCTGCATCCAGCGTGGACCATGCTTTTCCTCTGCACTTACTCTGCACTGGCCATGATGGGTGCTCTGAATTCAGACAAGAACAAGACTCCCTGAGCTCCCAACCAGCTGACCCTCCAGGGCTGGAGCCATGTGTGACCTCCACCCTCGCAAAGACCAGCAGCCAGGGGGTCCAGCCCGGGCTGTAGCATCTAGGCCCTGAGATGACTGTGGCAGAGGCAGCTCCTGCACACAGTGTGGGGGTCAGGGCCCCAAGAAGACCGTGGCTGCAGTGGCTCTCGCATGGCGTGGGGGTCAGGGCCCTGAGAGGACCATGGCTGCAGTGGCTCTCGTGTACGGTGTGGGGTCAGGGCCCCGCAAGAACTGTGGCTACAGTGACTCTTGTACAGTTGGGGGGTCCAGACCCCGAGAGGACCGTGGCTGCAGTGGTTTGCGCAGTGTGGGGTCAGGGCCCCAAGAAGACCGTGGCTGCAGTGGCTCTCGCATGGTGTGGGGGTCAGGGCCCTGAGAGGACCGTGGCTGCAGTGGCTTGTGCAGGGTGGGGTCAGGGCCCCAAGAAGACCGTGGCTGCAGTGGCTCTCGCATGGCATGGGGGTCAGGGCCCTGAGAGGACCGTGGCTGCAGTGGCTCTCGTGTACGGTGTGGGGTCAGGGCCCCGCAAGAACTGTGGCTACAGTGACTCTTGTACAGTTGGGGGGTCCAGACCCCGAGAGGACCGTGGCTGCAGTGGTTTGCGCAGTGTGGGGTCAGGGCCCCAAGAAGACCGTGGCTGCAGTGGCTCTCGCATGGTGTGGGGGTCAGGGCCCTGAGAGGACCGTGGCTGCAGTGGCTTGTGCAGGGTGGGGTCAGGGCCCCAAGAAGACCGTGGCTGCAGTGGCTCTCGCATGGTGTGGAGGTCAGGGCCCTGAGAGGACCGTGGCTGCAGTGGCTCTCGTGTACGGTGTGGGGTCAGGGCCCTGAGAGGACCGTGGCTGCAGTGGCTCTCGTGTACGGTGTGGGGTCAGGGCCCTGAGAGGACTGTGGCTGCAGTGGCTCTCGTGTACGGTGTGGGGTCAGGGCCCCGCGAGAACCGTGGCTACAGTGACTCTTGCACAGTTGGGGGGTCCGGACCCCAAGAGGACCGTGGCTGCAGTGGCTTGCGCAGTGTAGGGTCAGGGCCCTGAGATGACAGGGGTCACGGCGGCTCCCACGCACAGTGTAGGGTCACAGCTGCCGGCTCTGAAGCCATGTGGCCTGGGTATGAGTCCCTGCCCGCCACTTACAGGGTCCCCTTGGATCTACCACAGACACTTGAGGCTGTGACTGAGACTTAGGCTCGATCTCCATCTCTATAAAATGGGGGTGAGGCTTCTGGGGGCTGGGAGGGCGCTCAGGCCCTGGGGCTCAGCCTGGCTCTGCACCACGTTTCCAGCAGGTTATTCCCGAGAGGACGTGCAGGTCCACAAGAGCCTCGGGTGGGCTGGGGCAGGAGCCATGTGGGCTGCAGGGAGTGGAGCCAGAAGCCTGGGCCTCCCTGCCGAGATCCCAGCAGGGACCACTCAAGACAGGTCACCTCATCTGGGTTCCCGCCACGCATGGCCACCAGCAACCCCACCCCATCCGTGGACCCGCAGTTCAGGGAGGGAGGTGCAGGTGCAGGGCTGGACCCCAGTGAGACCCGACCTCAGTGTCCACACCCAGCAAGTGGCCCGAGGTGCAGTGTTGGGCAGGGCAGGTGCCTTCAGGGCACAGACGGGGATGTGCCAGGTCTGTGCCTTGGTCCCGGGAGGAAGGGAAGAGGCACACAGAGCGCCTGCTGCACACCCCACAGCACGGAGAGAGTGGCACTTCCTGCCTTTTTATTTAATTGTTTTGTTCTGTTGTCTTGAGACAGACACTCCAACCTGTCGCCCAGGCTGGAGTGCAGTGGCACAATCTCGGCTCACTGCAACCTCTGCCTCCCGGGTTCAAGCGATTCTCTTGCCTCAACCTCCCAAGTAGCTGGGACTACAGGCGCGCACCACCATGCTCAGCTAATTTTTGTGTTTTTAGCAGAGACCGGGTTTCACCATGTTGGCCAGGCTAGTCTCGAACTCCTGACCTCGTGATCCACCCGCCTCGGCCTCCCAAAGTGCTGGGATTACAGATGTGAGCCACCACCCCCAGCCTGACCTTTGTATTTTTTTATTGTGGTAAAATGTACATCATATTTCCACATCAACACTTTCCAGCATACAGCTCAGAGATACAAGTGCCCTCGGTGCTGGGAACCCGGCAGCTGTGGGTCCCAGAACTCCACGCCCTGCCAGCACAGGCTCTGCCTGATCGTGGCTCCCGCCCTTGCCCCAGCCCCACTCGGCATCCGAAGCTCTGGCTCTGTGGGTTGGAGGTTCATGTGTTAACGCCCGGTTTCAGGCAGGGAAGCAGGCCCGGGGCAGGTCTGTGTCACGGAGCTCAGAGCTCTAGTGCCCCACAAGCTTCCAGGACGCCGCAGCCCTGGGCCCCACCAGAACCAGGGGCCAGCTGGGCAGGAGGTCTGGGGGCAGGCCCCGCAGCGCTAGCCCCGGTCTCTGCAGCTATGTGGTGGGATCTGTCTGTTTGCTGCCTGGGACCCTGGAAGGAGGAAAGGCTGAACGGAGCCAGAGCACGTGACTTCCTCCTTTCTGAACAGCGTCCGAGGGTCTGGACACCAGGGTCCCCTGGGTCTGGGGTGAATCCCTGGGACGGCCCACCTGGAAGAGGTGGCAGGAACCACCTACCCTCGGGCTGTAGTTGGATTCTGTGAATGAAAGCCTTGAATCTCCTGGGCTCATGGGCTCACCCGCCGCCCCTCTGGCCTCAGCCAAGCTGTACAGAGGTTGATGAGGGCCCCTCTCACAACGGCCTGGAGGGCAGGGTGCAGGCGCACCCACAGGCCTGGCCTCGAGGGCCCCAGGATGGGAGGAGGGTCAGCCGCTAGGGAGGACCATGACGTCCCACCGTCCTGGGGTCCAGGCGCTGCCCCACCTCTCTCCTGGCAGGGCCCATCCTGCTGAAACCGGGCCCCCTTCCAGGGAGCCAGCAGCCTCCACCCATCTGACTCAGGCTGTACTGTGATGGCTCTGGGAGCCGCGGCCCCCACCCCATCTATCAGCCCTCATCCATCTGGGGAGGGGGTTCCCCCCAGCCCCGATGCTCAGGCCCTGCTGTGACCTCTCCTCCTGGGACTCTGGCAGGCCTGCAGCCCCATGCCTGGCCTCAGCCACCCTGCCACACATATGGCCTGACCCCGTGCTCACCCTCACCCTGTGGTTTTGCCCCCCATGGCCCCACGGGGCCTCAGCTCTCCCACACACATCCCATCCCTGGGCGCACCCCCTCGGCTCTTCCCCACGCAGCCTCGGCCCCCCACCCACCTCCCATCCCTGGGCTCTTCCCCAAGAGGTTTGGTAATCGGTTCTCCAGAGTGAAACAATCTCATGTAATCTATCAGTGGCTATCAGGCCCATCGGAGGGCCGGGAGTGGCCGGGCCCAGAGATGGCGCCAACCTTCAGCGTCGATAAAGTTTCCGAGTTCAGCGGTGATGAATGTGGAGTAAGCGCAGGCCGAGCCGATAGGATGTGGACTTGGCAGACCGAGGCTCCGGCTGAAACCGATCTCTCCCCTATCAGCCGGGCAGGGCTTCCTCAGGGCCCGGCTCTTTCTTCCCTCCTCCTCCACCTCCCTTTCTCTGCCTTGCTCCACCCGGGCCGCTGCCCCTGGGGACACAGGTGGGGGACCAGCCCACTGGCTCTAGCCCCAGAGAAGGGGCAGGCTCAGGGCAGGGGGAGGATCCCAGGGAGCCCAAAGAGGTGGCCAGAAGCTGGGGGGCCTGCCTGGAGGTGGCGGCAGATACAGCAGCTGCCAGGCCGCGGTTCCCCCAACATCCCAGTGACCCTAACACAGCCTGACAGATTTTGGCATTCTGCTCAGTGTCTGATGGTGGCTTCCCACGGGTCCCGAATAAAACCCCAGCTTCCTCCGAGACCTCCAGGCCCTGCCTCCCCACCACCCGCCTCTTCCTATTCCTGGGCCATGTGGGGTCCCTTCCCACTTCGAGGTGGGGGGCTCTGCCTTCAGCGCCCTCTGCCCTGGGCTCTTCTCAGTCACAGTAAAGGTCACCCTCTGAGAAGCGCTGGTGACCGGCCCGTGTGAAGCCAGGCCCCCACGCCAGCCCACTCTTCTCCGTCCTGAACACCGTCCGAGCCTCCGTGGTGCCTCCATCCCCCCACACACAGGACATTCATTCGCTCCGGGTCTGGGCCCACTTGCCCGCACCTGCTGCAGAATCCCAGAGCTGTCGGGAACTGGCACCTGGGGCCCCGTGCCTCCTGCAGAGCCTCCCATCTGCTGCTCACAGCAGCTCTGCAAGATGATGGGTCCATACCCATTGGCCAGATGGGTAAACCAGGACCTGGGCAGGCCGCTACACCCAGAGCCAGGCACCGCCTAGATTCCACTTGGCTCTGGCCTGAGGTGGCGGCAGATACAGCAGCTGCCAGGCTGGGGTTCCCATTCCAATGGCAGCTGGCCTGAGGCCCCTGCTGGGACCAGGCAGGGACTGGTCTGGCTGCTGTCTCCCTCAGTTTCCCTACAGGCCTGTGCTTAACCCGGCAGAGCTTCATAACCTGTGAAGGGCTGTGCACTTGTGTCAATGGGGATCTGTGGGAGGAGCCACAGCTCTGGGAGGAGACTTCCAGGTGCCAGCCTTGCACCACAGGCAAGGTGGACGCTCCCCTGGGGTGTTGAGGGTGCTCTGGTTTCAGCCGTGAAGTGGGCACCTAGCAGTGCCCAGGCCTTGGGGAGCCGCCAGAGGGGAGGATGGGCAGCTGCTCAGGGACCACGGCGAGGGCAGCAGTGCACGCAATGGGAGGGAAGACGTGGGACCAGGGAGGGCCTCACCGAGCCGTGATCCGCCTATGACCTGGAGGCAGAAAGGGGAACTGGGGCCAGCAAGGGGAGAGACCAGACCTCGGGCCCGGGAGCTGCATAGACCTGGATTCCAGTCCCAGCCAAGTAACCCTGCACATGAGCAGGGGCCCGGTGGGGGCACAGCCGGGAGAAAGGGAGGTGGAGGAGGAGGGCATGAGAGCTGGGGTCTCAGAAAGCCCAGGTCCCCTCTCCTGGCTGTGAGCAGGGACAGAGGGTCGGGGCCGTGAGGACCCCACGGACCACGCCGGGTACAGGGAGGGCTCGGGAAAAGGGCGCAGGCAGGCCACCGGGTCTGTGCTATCTGTGTGACCACCTGAGGCTCGCTGGCTGCTGCCCACCACTGTTACCTCCTCTGCCCAACGAGGTGCCGGGCTCACAGGGGCCCCAGCGCTGCCTGCAGCCGACACTGCCTGAGACGCCCACATGCCGGAGTGCCTGGACCCACCCCCAGCCCCGCAGGCGGCTGCTCAGCCTGGACACGGTGCAGCCAGAGGCTGGGCATGGCCGAGGGCCCGGGGTAGTTAAGCCCATGAGGTCCACCCCTCGGTTACTGGGTTGGCCACAGGAGGAAGTGGTGGGGCTGAGCGGGTGTGGGTGCAGGACCCCCTCCTGGTACTGGTGCCCCCGATCCCTGAGTCTCATCTCTTTCCTCATGGTGCCCCCATAGCCACCCAGGCCTCAGACCCCACAGGGGCAGGCAGCTGGGCACCTTTGGCCAGACAGGTGGGACTTGGCTCACCCACCCTAGGGTGAGCAGGCTGAGACCCAAAGGCCCCTCCCGGGAACCAACCAAGGCCCCATCTCTGCACAGCCTCCCTGCTGGGGAAGCCCGGGTTGACCTAGCCACACCCCCTCCAAGCCAGGCACACCCCACCAGCCTGTTTCCGGCCCCTGACCCGTCCTGTGCCCATCGGCATTTGCTGAGTACCTACTGTGTGCCAGGCACTATTGTAGATGCTGGGGTGTGGCCATGAACAGAGGTGAAGGGAGGGAAGGAGGCCCACCAAGTGTCGGGGCGGCCAGCATGGGAGCTGTGGAGGGAGAGTGAGGAGAGGGCCAAGCAGAGCCTGCTAGAAGTTGTGGCGGGGGGGCAGCCAGGGCAGGGCCATTTTCAGAAACCAGGCGGGAGCTGCGGAGGGGTTTGGCTTTTGCTCTGAAAGCCCTGGAGAGCCATTGGAGGTATTTGGGCAGAGGAGGTGCAGAGTTGGGGGCTGCTGGGTGTATGTAACTGCAAGGCCAAGTGTGGCTAGGGAGGCAGGGCGACCGTCGCTCACATAGCAGGTGCCTCGTGGAATCCAGGCTGCTGGCACCAAGGGAGGGAGCTGGACTCCACTCGAACGTACGATGGGGACCAACCTGGGCCAGGGGCTTTTCCCAGAGGAGCAGGGTTGGGCAGGGCACTTGAGGGCCCCAGATGGTCAAGCTAAGCAGGTGGCCCGCAGGGCTCCCCACTCCTGGCCTGGGACCAATTCTGGCTGCAAGATCCCAGCCCCCAGTGGGCAGCGCTTACGCTAGACACACAGCATGATAGGGATGGAAGAAGTTTTGGACGTGAGCACACCCATGCTCCAGGGCCCCTCTCCACACCATCTGCTGCAGGGAGACCTTCCCCACAGCCCTGAATGGGAGCTCCAGTCTCCCCCTGCCCGGTTTCCCTGCCTTCCGTGCCGTCCATGAGGGAGTCAGAAAATGGGCATAGAGGGAACCACGTGAGAGGAGACAAGGAGGGAGAGAAGCGGTTCACATGGGCGCTGGGGAGGGAGAGCAGAGGAGGCGTGTGGGCCGGGTGTGGGGTCAGCACGGGAAGGAGGCTGACGTGAGAATTAAGATTTGCAGTGACTCCTGTCATACTCTGGAAACTAGCACGGATTTGGGCCACCGCAGTGCGTGTCTGCGTGAGCCTGGACCACGGGGGGCCCCAGCTTTTATTTGGGATGCATGTTACCACCGTATCCATTTTCCAGCAAACTTTTCTGCCTTTAAAAGCCAGACAGGGCTGGGTGCGGTGGCTCACGCCTGTACTCCCAACACTTTGGGAGGCTGAGGCAGAAGGATTGCTTCATCCCAGGGAAAAAAAGGATCAGCGCAGCGTGGTGGCTGCACCCATGGTCCCAGCTACTCGGCAGGCTGAGGCAGGAGAATCGCTCAAGTCTAGGCGGTTGAGGGTGCCATTCACCGTGATTGCACAGCTGCACTCCTGCCAGGGCAACAACGCAAGACCCCGCCTCAAAACAGAAAAGGAAAAAGAGGACGCAGCTGATGGTATGTGAATTCCATCTCAATTGAATATCTGTGAGGCTCTCGCTGGGAGACTGTGAGTCAGGGCTCAGGGCCCCTGCTCAGGGCTTATTTGAGTGTCTGAGGCTCTTGCCTAAGTTACTGGCACAGTGGTCACTGTGGTGGCAGCAGCCACCTCAAGCTTGGCCTGCTGGGGACGTTGGCATTCAGCAGCACCTCCTGACGAATGGCCAGGAGGACATGTTGGGCTCTGAGGCCGCTTCAGTGGCCTCGGCCCTCCGGGAGCTCACAACCTGAGGCCGCCCTCTGTGGGGAGAGCAGGGACAACAGACCTGGGGACCGATAGGTCTGGGACTCAGAAAGGAGCGAGCTCCCCGTCGCAGGGGGTATGCAAGCTCCGTCCGTCTGCCTCTTGGTGGAGCTGCTCAACCCCCATGTCTCCCCTGCCCTGGGCCCACTGGCACAGTTGAGGGGCAGGACCAGTGCAGGAGGGTATCCAGGTCCAGAAGGCACAGCCCAGGTTGGGGGCTCAGGCCATGTCCTCGGTGTGCCACGACCCTCTGGGACCCTGGAGGTTCAGCCGTGCTCCTGCTGCTGGTCAGGGCGCTGCTCCGGTAAGCCGCACTCTCACGGATGTTGGCTGTTGCGGTTGCCCTGGCTGACAGTGAGTGCTGACCCGAATTGATGGAGCTGCTGGCGGGCCGGGCGGGGGCTGCTGCACGTGCTCTCCAGCCTGGGTCTCTCTGCAGCCCCCGATCGCCTCTCCATCAGCGTCTGCGTCTACACAGCTGTCCCTGGGGCACTGTCGGGGTTGCTGGTCCTCGCTTCCGCGGGGCTCACTGAGCTGCAGGGCTGGGCCCTCGGAGGCACACGTGGCCCCTCCCAGTCCAGCTGGAGAATCAGTGTGACCTGCAGATAAACGCAAGGCTCCGGCTGAGTTCAGGCCCTGGAGGGGAGGCCTGGACCATGGGAGATGGACCTAGACCCAGGGAAAAACCTCCGTCAGAGGGATGAGGAGGCCTCAGCTGCACAGAGGGTCGAGGGTTCCTGCGGAGGAGGCAGGGAGGACTGAGGCCTCAAGGCAGGGACGGCAGGGGAAGGAGTTGGGGGCCACCCTGAGGACCCGTGGGTTTAAGCAAGTAAACGCTGCCTACGGGAAACAAGTGGGGACTTGCTGAGGGGCCTGGACCCCATGTGGCAGTGGCAGCTCTGGGCCACATCGGGGTGATGGGTGGATGTGAAGAGGCATCCACCAGGAGACCCCAGGCTCCAGGGATGTGGTGGTATTCAGCCTGGGCTCCCGGGGGTGGGGGGGGAGGCACAGAAGGCGCCATCCGCTCCGGGCTCTCCCAGGCTCTGCCCCCCACTCCCTCGGCTGCCCTATGCCTGGAAGTCAGCCTGGCTGCTCAATAGATGGTGCGTGGAGTACCATGCTTGGTCCTGAGGGTGTGGGCGGTGAGTCCTGAGTCCAGCTGCGTGGCCAGGGCCCCATGCAGGTGGTGCTGGGCTGGCGTTGCCAGCAGACCCCACTTGGATGGTGGGACTGCGCTGCTCCTGCTGCTCCCTGCACCTCGGTTTCCCTGCTCAGCGAGATTCACTGGATGAGAGACACTCCTAAATGGGCGAGGGGGCTTGGGAAGCATCAGCTGTTCACTTGGGACCAGAGAAGGGGACACTTGGCCAAGAGATTGAGCTGTAGACTCAACTCAGGTCAGCTTGGGGGACCCAGGCCCTCTGCGATGGCTCACCACAGCCCCACACCCGGGCTGGGCCCCAGTCACCCTGTGCTCCCACAGCGTGGCCTCCACAGGGCAAGCAGGATTGTCCCCGTCCCCTCTCTGTTCCCACCGTGGTCTGAGCTGCTCGATGCCCAGCAGTGGGAAAGTCTGAATCTGTTGCTATTTTCTCTGTTATCGGGGCCTTATCTGGCCACTGTGTGCCACCCAGAGGCCAGGGTCTCTCTCCTGGCAATGCTGTGACCCCTCCACCTGCTGCCCAGGACCAGCTATACCAGGAGGCCAGCCTGGGGGCTGGTCTACCTGTCCAGCCCCACCCCTCTCCCATCTCCCTGTCCCATCCTCTGCTCTGACCTGTTCCCCTTGACCCTGCCCCCCCATCCCTCCCCTACCACACTGCCCTCCCCGTCCCTCCCCTACCACGCTGCCCTCCCCGTCCCTCCCCTACCACGCTGCCCTCCCCGTCCCTCCCCTACCACGCTGCCCTCCCCGTCCCTCCCCTACCACGCTGCCCTCCCCGTCCCTCCCCTACCACGCTGCCCTCCCCGTCCCTCCCCTACCACGCTGCCCTCCCCGTCCCTCCCCTACCACGCTGCCCTCCCCGTCCCTCCCCTACCACGCTGCCCCGCAGCATTTCCTCCCCCAGCCCCGTCCTTCACCCACTCACACCCCCCAAAGGGGGAAGATGGGGAACCTCTCTGCAGAGTGTGAAACAGTGGCAGCAGCTACGGTGACAACCTCACATCTTCGTTCAGTGCCCGCTGCCAACACCTGGCTGAGTCCCAACTCCAGCCTTTGGCAATTCACTGTTTCATCCCCTGAAACCAGGCTCAGGGAGCAGCTGCCTGCCCCATCCCAGCCTCCCTCCTGCTGTTCCTTCCTCCTGGAGCGCTTTTCCCTGGACCCGGTGCTGGGAGCCTCCTCGTCACCCCATCCGTATCGCCACTCACTTGCTACTTCCTCTAGGAAGCCTTCCTGGATGGCACCTCTGACTCTTTCCTGTGGTGGCCACACTGGCACCTTCTACTTTTTTGAAGGGAGGGGCTGGTCACTGCAGGGTTTCCGGCACCTCAAGAGGGTGGGGGATGCCAAGGGCTCAGGAAGGGGAGAGGAGCCAGCAAAAGCCAAGGAGGAAGTGAGTGTGAGAGTGGACGGGTGAGTGAGGGAGCGCATGAATGAGTGAAGGAAAGAGTCGTGGTGCTGGTAGGGGAGGGGCAGTGTGGGCACCAGTGGCCGCCCGCCCCACCAGCTGCTCACAGGGGGCCTGGGTAGGCACCTGCACCTCCACTTCCTCCCCTCTAGACTGAGAATGAGAGGACCCCCCAGAGAGGCCAGCAAAGGCACCTGTGTCCCCTGCAGGCACCCACTGGGGACTCAGGCTGGTCTCAAACCCTGAGCCAGGGTGGGGTGCTTCCCAGGCTGGGGCCCTGGGTTGTCAGGAGCCTTGCCCAAGGCACAGAGCCAGGGTCCACTCCTCATCCACAGACCCCATCTGCACCCCACCTGGCAGGGCCACCCTGGCCCTGGGGCCCACAGTCTGGGGGATTTCACCCCCTCCTCAGTGACCGGCTCTGGCTTTTCTGCAAGGCAGTCATTCAAAGCAGCCCCCCAGCACGTCGCCATCAAAGCCAGGAGGTGCCACCATAATCGTCAGTGCGGGGACTTGGATCATCCCGCTGCACAGAGCCGGCTCCGTAATTCAGTTTTAAAGCATGAAAAAAGGGAGTTGATGAAATTCCGCTATCAGCGCCGAGCCAATATGCAAAATATCTCGCCCCCAATCAAATAGCTATTATGTTTTCATTTCCATTTCGGCGTCCGGCTTAATGAGCAGGAGACGGATGGGCGCGCGGGTGTCTGCTGGCTGTGATAACCGAGGAGCTCCGAGCACCGCAGGGGCCGAGCTTAGTGCTGTCCTGGCCGCCAGTGACCACCACCGTGGCCCGTGGACACTGCCAGGCAGGTGTGGCCTTGGCCACTGACCTCTGCCAGGCCAGGCAGCGGGGCTGGCATCACCCTCCCTGGAGGTAGTCCTGGGGCAAGGGAGGCATGGAGGCCGTGTCTGGCTCAGGGAAGGGCCACGTGCTGGGTGCAGGTCTGAGGTTCCTGTCCTGCCGCCCCCACCACTGCCTCCTCCCCAGGGCCACGGTCAGCACAGCTGAGTCGGCCTTGCTGGGCCTTGGTTCACTCACCCGTGAAGTGGGCGGGACTCAGCTTCCCGCTGTGGTGTTGGGGTGTGGTTGGCGAGTGGAATTCCCGAGACGGCTGCGCCCAGGGTCCTGCTTACCCCCTCCACTCTACCCTGCCACAGTCATCACCACGTCCCCAAACTGTCCTCTCCCCCTTCCTCCGAGCGCCGTGTCCCCATGCACTTTCCTGACCGCCCCTACCTGCTGAGGTCTGAGTGGATCCCACGTCCCGGTCCGAAATGAAATTGGAAGATGACCTCACTGGGCTGCATGGGTGCGGGCAGTTCAGGGAGGGAGTCTGTAAGACACTGGACACGCCCAATCCAGTCTTAACCATGCACATCCTCCCCCATTTCCCAGGACCTGTGCTAGCCACAGCTCGTGTTCACTGGGCAGCTGGCCTGTGTGGGGCTCTGAGGGTGCGGGCAGCCACACGTTTCATCTCCTGAGGCGGGAGCTGCTGTGGCTTCCATCTGTAGTCCAGGACACTAAGCACAGAGAAGTGCAGTGGCTTGCTCGAGGTCACACAGCAAGGACACAGCAGCTGTCAGCCTGCCTGGCCATGGATTGGCCTACTCCCGCTATTGGCATCACTGGGCAGAGAGAGGGTCCCCAGAGAGTCTTGGGGGTCTTTGTTAGCCCCGGGCATGGGGGGAATCAGCAGAGAGCAGCCATGGCTCACAGATGCCCCTAGCCAGCGGGGGTCCAAGTGCTCTGTCGCCCACCTGGACAGGCCCCAGGGACTCCAGGTGGGCACAGAAAGGACCAGTGCTGACTCAGGGGCTCGGTGGGGACCAGGCAGCTGCTCTCAGGCGCCCAGGCGGGCCTGGGGCAGCATCTGCCTCCACACGTCCGATTTGTGGGCTGACGGTGGTGCCTGCATTATCAGCGCCGTTTTAATTGTGCTGGGACTGAAATTAGCCTGGCAGCTTCTCCACGCTCATCATCACGCCTGTGTGTGGAGCAGGGGCCTTTGTTCTCCTGTGAATGGGAGAACCCATCACCAGCCCAGGGCCTCCCTGGGTGTCTGAGACCCACCTGGGTGGGGCATACTGGGGCTGCATCCCTGGCTCTGGTCCCCAAAGTCCCTGAAAGCAGGTGGCCTCAAGCCCATTTGCCAGACCTGGTGACTGAGGCCCTGAGGCCCTATTGCTGCTCAGCAGGAGGGACCACAGCTCGTGGGCAGCCCCTCCCAGCTCCATGCCAGCCACAGGCCTCTCGAAAGCCGTGGAGCCGGGCTGTGTAAGCTCAGTGTCCTGCACAGCCGAGCTTCTCCTGACCTTGTGGATGGCACTGCCCGCTCATAGCCAAGCCCAGAGGCGGGGTGAGGGGAGGTTGCTGCCGCCGCTTCTCTGCCCTGGTGTATGCTGAGGGAGGGCACTCAGGTCGGGCCTTTTGTCCCAGGGTCACGAGGTGGGCTGGTCAGAGGTATGCCCAACCCGCCCTGGAGCCTGCCCATGTGGGTGCTTTGATGGGAGGCTGCCAGCTCTTCCCTGGGGCTGGCTCCTGTGTGGTCTGAGCCCAGCCCCCTCCTGTAATTACAGCTCTGAGGTGCTCTGAGGAGGCTGGGACTCGTCCCAGTGGGAACCCCAGAGGCTGCGAGCTGGGAAGGTGCAGGTGTGTCAAGAACCCCGCAGCTCCCCAGCCGCCCCAGCATGAGGCCCACTCCTCCCCGTGGCCTCTGAGGTCAGCAGGGCCAGGCCCCTGCCTGCCCTAAGCCCTGACCACCAGCACACCCTGGCCCCCAACCTCCCCGTCCTCCGACACCTCCGTCCCCACCCAGGTCTTTGAACACGCAGCCCCCTCTGCCATAGCTGTCTTCTTGGGGGCTGGCCTGGCACCAGTCCCGCTGTCCCTCCGATCTGCTGTGCCAGCCCCTCCCCGTGTTTCTGTCTTTCTCCCTCGCTGCCCGTCTGTCACTTGCCGTTGTTTTCGGCCGGGACCCATGGATTGTTGTCGGACTGTCCCCACACCGGCCCGGGCGTCCCAGGCAGTGTTCAGCCACCCAGCGCACCCCTGCACCCTGGAACCGAACCTGCCCTCGGGTGTCCGCAGAAATAGGCATCTGCCCCTCCAGGAGCAGCTTGGTTTAATGGTGTCAGCCAGCCACAGCCTGCTCATGATCAGAGAGGCGGCTGGAGTCCAGACACACGGAAAATGCCCCTTCCCGCCTCCCTCCTGTGTGGCTGGGGCATCCTCGGACGTCAGCCCGAAACTCAGTCACAGCAGCTCTCATTCCATCGCATCTTGGGGGTCTCGGGCATGAGGCAGCCTCTGCGCCCTGCGTCAGATGCTGGCAGATGGCATGTTTGTTACCAGCTGGGCAGGTGTTTTGGGTGTCAGTGGGCTCCGCCTCTGACCTGCCCATCTCCCCGCCATCTTCTACCTTTCCCTGGAGAAACCAGCAAAGCAGAGAGGGTTAGGGGCCTTAGAAGAGGGCACCGGGGATCCAGTGGAAGCCCTTGACGCTGGCGCATGTGCGTGCCTGTGTGTTTTTCTGGGGAGGAGGCACTGGGCTTCAGATTCCCAGAGGGGCCACGAGGCAAGGAAAGCAAGGAACCGCCAGATCAGAGGCGCAGTCGCCGGCCGGTTCCCCGTCTTTGTGGCTGGCTTGCCTCCAGGGAGGGGGGAGCTCAGCCCTCAGGAGGCAGGCGGCAAGGCTTAGGCCTCCCCTCTGGTATCTTCCGTTCTGACTCCCCGCCGCCGAGAAGCCCGCTCTGCCTTACCAGCTCCTCTGACACGTGAACTTGCAGGCACTGTCGGGGTTCCCAGACTTTTCTTGTTCGCGTTCTGCTGTGATATTGGGCGGGGCTCAGCAACTATGGGACCCGGGGTCGGGACTCAGGAGGGCCACGGCCCCTCCCACTCCTGAGTGGGATTGGAGGCTCTGCCCCACCACGCCTCACACAGGACAGTACAGGGCTGGGCAGGTCAGGCCTTGTGGAGGATGGGTATGGAGGGGGCAGTCCCAGCATGCAGGCTGAGGCAGGGCCAGGGGCCTGGGGAGCAGGCAGGCCGGCTGCAGAGGGGCACGTCTGTCCTCCGTTCACACCATGGACACCATCACCCATTGCAGCCCCGCAGCGGACGTCAGCACGCGCTCCTGCACTCGGCCGCTCCACGGCTACTGTGGGGTCCGGGGCAGCCACCCCCGTGCTTGGGCCTTGTGACCTTGTCTCCGTCTGCCTTGTCACCTATAGGGGGGCTCCTGGAGCCCACACCCCGATGCATGAGTCTGTGAGGGTCCCAACCCCTGAGGCACTTCCACCCCAGACACTGTAGTCGCCCATGCCCTGCTCGGTGGGTTGCTCGCTCCACAAGTCTATGGGCGCCTCTGTTCAGGGCCTGTGCCAGGAGAAGGCATCACCCCCAGGGAGCTCCCAGACCACGGGAATGACTGTGAGGGGACCAGGCCCCTGGGCGGGGCATTGGCAGTGATGCCAGGCAGAGGCCACAGCGATGGCGACCCTCAGGGCCTGGATGGACGCTGGGCCTGTGGGACAGGGAGGGACCCATCGCTGCTCCACGGCCGCCAGAGCAGGTGGGGCCTGTCTCCTGGTGCTGGGGGGGAGCAGGTGGGAGAGAGACACAGGGATGCGACTCTTCTCTGTCAAGAGTGGAATCCGTGGGCACAGTGGAGGTCGGGGTCAGGGCAGGGAAGGAAGGGTGGGGCGACCCTGCAGCTTTGGAATTGTTGGAGCGGATGGGGGTTCATCTAGGTTCGTCGGGTCGTTTTTTTTGAGACACAGGTCTCCGTCCGTCACCCGGGCTGCGGTGCAGTGGTGCCATCGCAGCTCCCCGTCACCCAGGCTGCAGTGAAGTGGTGCAGTGGTGCCATCGCAGCTCCCCGTCACCCGGGCTGTGGTGCAGTGGTGCAGTGGTGCCATCGCAGCTCCCCGTCACCCAGGCTGTGGTGCAGTGGTGCCATCGCAGCTCCCCGTCACCCGAGCTGTGGTGCAGTGGTGCAGTGGTGCCATCGCAGCTCCCCGTCACCCAGGCTGTGGTGCAGTGGTGCCATCGCAGCTCCCTGTCACCCGGGCTGTGGTGCAGTGGTGCAGTGGTGCCATCGCAGCTCCCCGTCACCCGGGCTGTGGTGCAGTGGTGCCATCGCAGCTCCCCGTCACCCAGGCTGCAGTGCAGTGGTGCAGTGGTGCCATCGCAGCTCCCTGTCACCCGGGCTGTGGTGCAGTGGTGCCATCGCAGCTCCCCGTCACCCGGGCTGTGGTGCAGTGGTGCAGTGGTGCCATCGCAGCTCCCCGTCACCCGGGCTGTGGTGCAGTGGTGCCATCGCAGCTCCCCATCACCCAGGCTGCAGTGCAGTGGTGCAGTGGTGCCATCGCAGCTCCCCGTCACCCGGGCTGTGGTGCAGTGGTGCCATCGCAGCTCCCCGTCACCCGGGCTGTGGTGCAGTGGTGCAGTGGTGCCATCGCAGCTCCCCGTCACCCAGGCTGTGGTGCAGTGGTGCCATCGCAGCTCCCTGTCACCCGGGCTGTGGTGCAGTGGTGCAGTGGTGCCATCGCAGCTCCCCATCACCCGGGCTGTGGTGCAGTGGTGCCATCGCAGCTCCCCATCACCCAGGCTGCGGTGCAGTGGTGCAGTGGTGCCATCGCAGCTCCCCGTCACCCAGGCTGTGGTGCAGTGGTACAGTGGTGCCATCGCAGCTCCCCGTCACCCAGGCTGTGGTGCAGTGGTGCAGTGGTGCCATCGCAGCTCCCCATCACCCGGGCTGTGGTGCAGTGGTGCAGTGGTACCATCGCAGCTTCCCGTCACCCGGGCTGTGGTGCAGTGGTACAGTGGTGCCATCGCAGCTCCCCGTCACCCAGGCTGTGGTGCAGTGGTGCCATCGCAGCTCCCCGTCACCCGAGCTGTGGTGCAGTGGTGCAGTGGTGCCATCGCAGCTCCCCGTCACCCAGGCTGTGGTGCAGTGGTGCCATCGCAGCTCCCTGTCACCCGGGCTGTGGTGCAGTGGTGCAGTGGTGCCATCGCAGCTCCCCGTCACCCGGGCTGTGGTGCAGTGGTGCCATCGCAGCTCCCCGTCACCCGGGCTGCGGTGCAGTGGTGCCATCGCAGCTCCCCATAGCCTCCAACTCCCCAGCTATGGGGATCCCCCAGGCTCAAGTGATCCTCCCACCTCCACCCTCCTAGTGGCTGGGACTACTGGTATGCACCACCACATCCAGCTAATTTTTGTATTTTTTTATAGAGGCAGGGTCTTGCCATGTTGCCCAGGCTGCTTACAAACTCCTGGACTCAAGCAATCCTCCTACTTCAGCCTCCCAAAGTGCTGGGATCACAGGTGTGAGCCACTGTGCCCGAATATCAAACCTTGAGTACCTAGAGGGACTCCCCCAGCTAACGGCACCTGGCCCCTGAGCTCAGAGGGGTGCATACCCTCACCGCTGCCCAGCTGCTAACTCTGCCTGGACAGCAGGACTGTGGCTATGCCAGGAGGGCTCAGGAGGCAGGGACTCTCTCCCCAGAGCACCTCCCAACCCCTCTGCCTGTGTCCACAGGTTCCCTTGGAGACATGGAGGCCGGAGAGGAGGTGCTGTTGGCAGGTGCCAGCCACGTGGAGCAGAAGGCCATGGCACCTGAAGCCCCAAGCTCTCCCAGCACAGGTGAGTCCCGCTGGCCTCTCACCACACCTCCGTCTCCACCAGCTGGGGCCTCCGTTGCTTACCTGTACCATGCACTTAGAGTTCAGTGGTGTCTGAGTGGCATGAACCAGCTATATCCAGGAGTCCAGGACAGGCGTCCTCCAACCAGGGGCCTGTGGCCTGGGGGACTGGGTGGGGCTGGGAGTCCCCAGAGAAGGGAGAGACAAGCACACCTGCCGCAGGTATGACCTGAAATCCAGCCCTCGTACAGATGAACAGACAGAGGCCCAAGGTTGGATGGGAATCCATGCCCTCCCAGCCTCAGTAGACCCTCCTTGAAATGGGGACCATGAGGCCCCTCCTTGGGGGTCATGGGGCTTGCTGAGCTGCAGCCCCCCCTGGTGTCCCACTTGGGCTGTGTGCGCAGTGGGTGCTGGGTACACAGTGGGTACTGGGTGCAAGTGGGTGCTGGGTGCATGGTGGGTGCTGGCTGCAAGTGGGTGCTGGGTGTGCAGTGGGTGCTGGGTACACAGTGGGTGCTGGGTGCACGGTGGGTGCTGGGTGCAGAGTGGTGTCTCCTGCTAAGGCACCACACCCCATTCACATACCAGAGAGGTTTCGTGACTTACCAGAGTCACTCAGCTCAAGAGTGCCCTAGTGGGGTTCCCACCCAGGTCTGGGTTTAGCCTGATTTCCTCCACTGTCACTGGGCACCTGCACAGTCTCTGGGCCCTCCTGGTGGCCATTTCCTTGGGGCAGGTCATTTGCTAAGCCAGGAAGAGGGCCTGCCCTCCAGAGAGAGAGTTACCCTGACATACAGAGGCCTGCGGGAGCCAGCTATACCCCAGACACACCAGAGACCCTGGGAGAAGGGACCTTACTGGGACAGCGGTGCCAGGAGAAGTAGCATGCTCACCCCCATTTTCCAAGGTCTCAGAGAGGCAGCAGCAGGTCGTGGGGTAGGCTCTGCCCCACTCCAGCAGGGAGACATGGCCATACCTGGGCCATTTGGGAGGGTGCTGGTGGGTGACATGACCTGGAGTGGAGGAAAGATGGGAGTGGCCAGGGAAGACCTGAGCAGGACCCCCGAGGATGTGTGGCACTGCCCCTGATGGCTGGAGGGATGCCAGGGGTCAGTGACAGCAGGTGCAAAGGCCCTGAGGCCATCAGGATGAGGGAGGGGTTACAGACAAGGGTCTGTGGCCAAGGGGCTAGGTGGAGGTCTCTGGCTTGGGAGGGGCGCTTCTCAGTGAGGACCCCCCAACCCAGCACTTCGCATTCTGGATGTCAGGGTCCCACAGGCCCAGCAGCCCGGCAGGCCTCATCCCCCAATCTGCACACAGCCAGCCTGCTGGGCCTGGGCCCCTTTTTCTGGCAGCAAGCCCCTGGGGTCACTAGAGCCAGTGGGACTCAACCCCAGGGCTGGGGCTGCCATCCCTCCCAGCTCACACAGGGACATTCCTGCCCCAGGACAACCAGGGCACCTGCAGGGGTCCAGCCCAGCCTCTGGTGACGCCTGGGACCCACTGGCTGCCACCCTCCTTGTCCTTGCTGCCATTGCCATCAGCACACTAGGCTTGTGGTGCAGCCAGAACCCTCCCTGGCTGGTCCCAGGCCGGGCACTTAACCCTCCTGCAGCCTCAGCTCCTGCACGTGCAGGCAGGACACCAGCCCCTCCGTGGCCGTGGGAAGAGAACACGTGTGCTGCACGTGGACTGGGAAGCCCTGGGCTGTCACCGCCGCCAGCCTCAGTGGTGCACGCAGCTGCCGCCAGCTGGCCGGCTGCAGGGAGCCCGGATGGAGGGGCCACAGCAAAGGGCAGGCAGCGCAGTGCTGGTGGACTTTGACCAAGGCCAGCTTCCGGGGGAGCCAGGCGCTTTATCTGATCTAGAAGCCAGGGCTGCATGGGGGTGGGGGTGGGGGTGGGGCCCGGGAAGGAGCTGGAAAAAACAGCCAGGGCTGCACCTGGCACAGGCCGTGGTGATAGCGTGGCGATGGGCGAGATAAGACGGCAGCGCAGGAGCGGTGTCTGCCGCTTGGCGGGTCCAGCGAGGCTCCCTCGCAGCGGCTGGAGCTCAGATGCCAGCCACTTTGATTTATAGCCAAAAATAATAGGACTCTTATACCGTGTGATTGACTGACTTGATGTTAATCACAGCCCTTATCGAGCGTATTAATAATCTGTGGCCACGTGACGTCACCGGTGTGGGGGGGCTTTATGGGATCACATCGATCGGGGCTGAGGTGGTTATCAGGCCAGCTGGGAAGGCAAACATGCCCTTTGGGCTGGAGTTGGTGCGGGGCTGGGTGGAGGGGCCCCCAGCTGCCGGCACAGGGGACCGGGAAATTGGTGCGGGGCCGGGTGGAGGGGCCCCCAGCTGCCGGCACAGGGGACCGGGGAGCTGGCAGCCACATATGTGCCTGCTGGGCAGGGCAGGCTGGTGGGCTATCGTGCGCCCTAATTATCAACAGCCGCTGGAATAGCAATTATCATTGCTGTAACTAATGAGGGATGGAGGGTTTTCAACGACCAAGAGGAAAACTGGGATGTCTCTCCCACCCCAGTTACAGCGAGCCAGGAGGGTGGGTGGCTTTGGGCCCCAGCTTCCCCACCCGGTGCCTCAGTGTCCCTCTCAGCCACAGGGAGGGGCAGCTCAGTGCCTGACGCTTGGTAGGGATGTGGCGGTCTTTTCCTCTCTGCAGATGTAAACTCACCCCCACCACCGCCACCTCCCACATCCCCAGGAGGCCCCGAGGAGCTGGAGGGACAGGAACCAGAACCCAGGCCTACAGAGGAAGAGCCACGCAGCCCCTGGACCGGGCCAGGTAACCATGTGGTGGTGGGGCTGGCAGCGTCACCTCCCAGGCAACTTGGCCCGGCCCCTGGCAGAGGGGCCACATGGCTGCCGGGGAGGTGTGTAGGTTGCTGGAGACCCACTGGGCCCAGGCCTGTGCCTGGTCCAAAGCTCAGCCAACCTGTGCAGCTAGCGTATCGCTGGAGCTGGGCACCCTCGTGCCAATGCCAGCCTCACGTGGTGCACAAGGAGTCACTGGGGGTTCCTTGGTCAGAGCCAGGCCGGGATTCAGAGTTGTGCTGAGGTGGGACGGGAGGCTGCATCTGAGCTGCCTGGGCCCACGGCCTTCCCAGCCAGGCCGGGATTCAGAGTTGTGCAGAGGTGGCCAGGGAGGTGCTCAGGCCTGAAGGGCAGGACCCCACCCCATTTCACTCCAGAGTGGCTGCAGGCCGTGGGGTTGGAGTCCGAGCCACACGGCCCCGCAGGGCCTGGGCCACAGATGCATCCCCGAGGGTGGATTGGTGGTGCTAGCTGGTCACTCTGCTCCATGATTTGTAGCTGGAGTTCTGACCCCAGAAGTCCCATGAGCATGTTCTCCCTGCAGCCCCTTCGGGAGCTGTGAATCCCACTGATTTATGAACACGGGAAACTCCGGCGGTCAGGTTGTTTGCATCATTCCTGAGAAATGCTGCTGCCCGAGGAGCCAGAGTAGCGGCTGGGGTGGCTTCCTAGCGCTGCCCAACCGAGGCCATTGTGGAAACTGGAGGACAAGGGAGGAAGGGGGCCTAACAGAGGCCGGATGGGGGTGGCAAGGGCCTCTGTGGAGGGCAGCGTGGGGAGGGGCAGGCGCTCGAGCCAGACGCATGTGCAGATGCAGCCAGCATCTATTGAGGCCCTCTGCATGCCAGGCACAGAGCCAGGAGCAGGTGCTCGTCAGAGAGCGCTCAAGAGGTCTCAGTGACACCAGCAGGGCCCCATCTGTGGAGAGAAGGCATGTGGTGAGGGCTTGCCATGCTGGGGAGCAGGAAGGCGTCGCTGAGGCTGAGGGACACTATTCCTTCCTGGGGGCCAAGATGGAGAAGGGTCAGCAAGGTCCCAGCAGCGAGGGGAGAGTGCGTGATGGGCCTGTGTGCCCACCGCAGGGCAACTAGGCAGTGGCGCGTTCGGGTGAGGCCTGCTCCTTTAGCATAGCCTCTTTCCACGCCGGGCAGCCGGGACCAGAGAGGGAGGGGCGGGCCTGGAGCACAGCCAAGAGGATGACCCGGCCCCGCGGGGAAGCTGAGTCACACCTGCATGGGCTGTGGGGCTGCCCAGGGCTCTCTGGTACCTCATGGGCTCCCTCTGCTGTCCCCAGAAGGGGGACCGGGCATCCAGCACAGCAGACAATGTGGCCTACATACCTGGGACCCAGAGATGGCAGAAATTGGCCATCTGCATGCCTTCTCCTCAGTGACACCAGGTTGGGGGCAGGCCCAGGACACACCTCTTGGGGTGGTCGGACGCTGGTGCCTCCGGCCCTCGCTGCTAAGTCAGTCTGACAGGGAGGCCTTTGCATACACAGGGCAGTGCTGTGAGGTCGGGAAGGGCTGCCCTGATGCCCTCATCCTCCCCCAGCTGTAGAATAGGATAGCAGGGAGGATGCCCACAGGCCCCCTCAGGCCTGCAGAGCTCCCATACCCCGCACTCTTTCGGTGGAGACCACCCCCACAGTGGCAGGAACCATCGTGTACCTGTGGGACCCAGCTGGCCACTGGGCATACGGGGTGCTGTGCGGCCCTCACACCAGTCCCAAGAGGGGTTGAGATGGTGACCCCAGTCCCCGGAGGAGGGAACCCAGCCCGTTCGAGGTCACGTGGCCAGGAGGGGTGGAGCTGAGTTTGGGCCTGGAGTTCACAGACTCTGGGTTGTTCATCACTTCACAGGTCCCTGCGGTGTTGAGAGTTGTTAGATCAGCCTCTCGCTCTGCAGATGGAGGAAGCCCTGGGGGCTGGAGCCTGGCACCGGGCAGGGCTGGGGCCCTGAGGCTGCGGCCGTGGTTTGGGGCTAGGGTGCGCCCCCCAGCTTCCTGTGCTGCATCCCCCGGACCGGGCGGCACCCTATCGGTTCCCGCAGATATGAATTTCTGTGCAGTGGGCGGCGATGGGCTGATACGTGGCCGCCAGCCAACCGCTGCAGTGGCCCCGGCCTATCAGGCCCGCACAGGCCGACTGTCACCCACAGAGACGCCGGGGAGCCTCTGTGGGCTCTTATCTCCCGGGGCTGCCTGTGTGTCGACGGCCAGCAGGGCTTCGCAGGGGCTTGCGGGGTGGTGGCCCCAAAGGCAGTGCCCGGCCAGGTGGCGGGTCTGGTGGCCGGGTGCCGTGGGGGATCACCCAGCTTTGCCCTGCTCGTCCTGGCGTCTCTCCTTCCTGTCTCCAGACCCTGTCTCTGATGCTCTGTATTGTGTGAGCCCCTCTCCCTCCACCCTCCCTCCACACCTTCTCCCTCTCTCCCTTCCTTTCTCTCTCTCTCTCTCCTCGTTCTCCTTCTGTCTCCCTCCCTTACTGGCTCTCTTTCTCTCTCAGTCTCTCTATGCCTCTCTCCCTCACCTGTCTCTGCCCCTGTCAGTCTCTGCTCCTGTCTGTCTCTGCCCCGTCTCTCCCAGTTTCTCCAGGTCTGTTTCGTGGTCTCTGGCCCACAGCTGCTCCTACCCCGCCCATCCCCAAGTGTGGGAAACAGTGCAGGCCACAGCCCCTCTGAACCTGGCCCGGGACCTTGTTCTTGAGGCAGCCTGGGAGGTACCATCCACCTTTCCTATATGAGGTGGAAGGAGCGCCAGCTTGGACCGAGGGGCACTCTGCACTTTGGGGAGGTAACTGGGCCCTGAGCCTGCTTCCCATCTGTCCTGCCTGTGGATGGGACCCGGGCTCACAAGTGTCCTGGGAACCCCTCCAACCCCAACCCCAGTTCAACCCATTTCACAGGGAAAGTGGCTGGGACTTGTGGGCACCCAGGAGGCAGACAGTGTGAGCCCAGCAGAGAGGTCCAGCCTTGGCACCTCCCCCAACAGCTCCGCCATGCGTGCAGCCAGGCTGCCCTGTCCCTGGTGGTCAAGGCCCCCGGCAGGTGGGCATGAAGACTCCCTGGAGGCACCCATGTGACCCCAGGCAGGGGGGCCTCACAGCCCCTCTCTTCCTCCCTGGGGACACCCAAGAGGCCCCCAACGCCCACTGCAAACGTTAACTGAGGTCATGGATGCACAAAGACTTCGTGAGCAGCAGAGAGCTGTCCCGGTGTGAAAGTGGCCATTGTCTTGACTTCCCCTGGACTCCGGGGCCTGTGACTGCCCCTGCTGGCCCCCTCCTGGCCCTCCTTGATAACCTGGTGGTCCCAGAGCCCTAAAGGGAGGCCAAGGAGTCATTCAGTGGGTGCTGGGTTTTGTTTTCAAAAGTTCTGAGCTCTGAGCTTCGAGTGCCTTTGCTCTTGAGTGCTGCAAACGGGGTCCCCTGAGCTGCTCTGAGCAGACGCGCAGGCCCCGCAGCCCCGGCCCTGCGGAGTGACCACAGGCAGGCCCCTTGGCTTCTCCAGACTCAGTTTCCTCCTCTGTAAGATGGGTGGAAGGACAGCCACAGCTGCTGGAAGCCTCCGTGAGAGACTGTGTGGTGTGTAGCACACAGTGGCTGGGACTGGCTTCGGGCTTGTCATCCGCCCTGGGCAGCCTGGGTTATGCAGATTGCAGCAGGGTGCAGGCAGGTCTGCAGGGAGAAGCCGCCATCTGCAATGCAGAACTCTCCTTTCCATGGCTGAGAGAGGCAGCCGGGCAGGGGCAGGGAGCAGCCATCTTGTGCCCCCCGTTGCACCATGGCCTCATGGCAGGACACATTCACCCCCAGACCCTGTTAGCTGCCCGGCACCAGGGAGGTGTCCAGGTGGGAGCCGGGGACCCATGAGTGAGGTCACCGCAGTGCAGCCTCGCTGTCTGAGAACAGGATACCCCACCGAGATGAGAGCCCCGGGCAGAGCATCCCATCACAGGGACCGGTCACAACACTCCAAACCCTGCCATCAACACCCAAACCAAACCCAGCAAGCAAGGGGGAAGCAGGGAGAGGGGCTGATTCCAGGAGGGAGTGTCTCTACCCCAGGGTGAGTGGGGCCCTGGGGTAGAGAGCGGAGGGTGCATCGGAGGACGCAGGGCCTGAGTGGGGGCTGAGGAAGGCGGGGTGGGCGGGAGTGTGGCCTGGTCCGTGGGGCCTGTGGCCTTGGACTCCAGTGAGGCAGCAGGAGGGGCCGGCAGGAGGAGAGAAGGGCCGGGGTCCGACCCCAGGGACGGCCTCAGAGAAGGGACCTCGGGTGGGGGCAGAGCCGGTCACCTGTGCCTGGACGCCCTCTTCCTCCCTAGAGCCTCCAGCCCGGATGCAAAGGGAAGGATTCGGCCGTGGCGGCGGCGAGCTCCTGTTTTATCTTTGAAATGTCCTTGTGTGCTGGAGGGGCGCTACCTAGGATTCTGCTATGCAAATGGCTCGGCCATAGTCTGCAATCCCTGCACGTGCCCGGGAGCTGCTCAGCCTTGGTGCTTTCTGCCCGCCCGTCCCATCGTGGGACGTGGGGCCGAGTCCTGGTCCTCCGGAGCATCCCACTCTTGCCTCGGAAAATGGAGGCACCCGACGTGCCAGCCCACTGGGACTTGGAGGGGTGGAGCTGGGGTCTCATTCGACTCCCTGGGGTGCTGGGCCAGCCCAGTTCATGGCCCCTGCGTGGTCATCTGCCCTGAGAGTAATGGTGCAGGCCAGGCCACAATGCAGCAGGTGCAGGAAGAGGCTGAAGAGCTTGGGGTCTGGACCCTGGCATGTGGAGTCCGTTTCCCCTGGCAGCCCTCCAGGCAGCCTGCAGGTGGGAGGGCCACAGGCCTCCCCAACGTCCCCACATGAGGTTGGGCAGAACTCAGGGGAACTGGCTCAGAGGACAGCTCCTCTCCCTGGGCTGCTTGGGGCACCGAGGAGGCCTCACTTGTCTGTCCTTCCTCTGACCCCGAACCTGCCCATCTGTGCC